CGAGGAAACTGAGGCCCAGAGGAAGCACAGGGGCTTGTCCACGGGGGCGCAGCTGGCGACCCACAGGGAGCAAAGTGGGGTGTGGTGCAGGTGTGCTGAGGATTCAGGAGCCCAGGGCTGCTCTTCTCAGGCTCAGAATCTTGCTCTGTAAAGAGGAGGTAGGTCCCCACCCTGCTCATGTCATAGGTCTCTCCTGAGACATGGGAAAACGTTCCGCAGAGTTTCCCAGGGATGGGGGAGGACTTGGCATGTCTGAGCTGAGCCTGAGCCCATCCTCCGACTCCCCACCCTTTGCTTCCCCAGCCTGAGCCTGATCGAGAATCTTCAGGAGCCCCCTCCTAGTGCCTCGAAGGGAGCGCCCTGCAATTTGCTGAATCAGGGAGGCTCATGAGTCATCAAGAGCTGGTGATGGGAATGTGGCTGGCTTCTCCCCATGCCAGTGATCACCACCACCGCCATCCCTACCACTGCTTGAGGTCCTACTTGGGGCTGGGCCCTTTACTTCCATGATTAACAGTCCTTACCTACTCCCTCCCACATATCCTTATGTTACACCTAGGAAAACTGAATGAAGCCCAGAAAGATCAAGTAAGTGGTCAAAGGACACACAGCTAATAGAAACAAAGCTTGGAATCAGGTTTTCTTGGCTCCAAATCCTCTGTCCTACCCTCTGTACCATGCTTACGGTGGGTTTCTGGGAGTGAGAGACGGGCATCCTACTGCAGGTACTGTCACAGGAGATGGGGGTGGGGGGTGGAGTACCGCTCAAACACTGTGGAATCTTGGCCCAGGGGGTCCTGTTGGAAGGACACTTCAGCAGCTTCTCCCAATCTCTACAGAACTCAGTTGCAATGCAGCTTTGCCGCTCCTCTCATGGAGGTGTGGAGTCTAGTTCTTCATCTCTTTGAATCTGGGCTGTCCTTGGGCTTGCTTGCTCTGGCCAGTAAATGCAGCAAAAGTGACAAATAGTCATTCCTTCTTGTCTGTGGGGGTTGGTTTGAGGACCCGCCGGGGATACCAGAATCCAGGAATGCTCAAGTCCCATAGTCGGCCCTCTGTGTCTGTGGTTGTCGTGTAACTTTGGATTTCAGGCCTCAAGAGGCTTTGAAGCTTCCGGTGTCCCCTTCATGGCATATGGTACCACAGTGTGAAAGAGCCAGGCTAGCCCTTATTCCTGAAGACAGACCACATGGAGAGAGAGGCCGAGCCAGTGGCCAGAATGGGCCATGAAGTGTGCGTGAGGCCATCGAGGCACAGCCCCCCGCATCTGCCAGGCCTCGTGTAAGAGCAGCAGCAGGGCGTGCCGCACCACAGCTACCCCAGCCCCTATCGCTGACCCACAGGATCGTAAGCAAATACAGTGGTTATTGTTTTAAGCCACTAATTTTTTGGCATGAGTATGGTGTGATATTCAGTAGTAGACAACTGATAAAGTGACTTAATTTCTCCCGGCCTCAGTGTCCTCATCTGTAAAATGGGGGTGTTACTCATATCCGTGTGGATAAGCTTGCCTGGAAGAGTGAGATGAAGTCTGTGACTCTCAGGCCTCTTGAATCTAGCACGGAGTGGAGTTGGCAGCATGGGCATCAAGGGGTAACTGTTGTTGTGAGCAGCTATGGTCAGGGCCTCTGAGGCAAGAGCCGTGGTGGGGTACGACGCACACAGTAACCCCTCACGACAGAGAGTCATCCAGCCCCAAATGTCAATGAAAGTGAGGTGGAGAAACTGACTATCCGGGAAAACCATGGCGGGTGCATGAGCCTTCGGGGGTCATCAGGTGACGCAGACAGACGGCTCATTCGTGCCTAGCCTTGTCTCCCATCTCTAAGGGGCCGTGGCTGCTTGGGGCGCTGCAGGTGGCCTGTGATACCTGGTATCCAGGTGGCCAGCTCTTCCCATTTTTCAAGCCAGAAATCCAAATTTGAATGTGAAAATACTCATCCTTTAAGTGCTGCAACTATTTGAGAATGTTTTTAATGCTTTGCCAGTCAAACAAAACACATCTGGAAATGAGACAAAGACAGAGGGCCGCAGTTTGCAACCTCCCCCAAGCATGGATGGGGCCTTCCTGGCACTGAGCTGGCCGGTGTTTTAAATGACACAAGCCCAAGCTTCCTGGGTTCAGTCTTCAGACTTACTCCATCCTCCTGGGCTGACATACAGTGAGCCCTTGCTGTGTATTCGAACCTGCTGTAAGCACTCCCGGCATGTTAATTCATTTTATGTTCACAAGAACCCTCCAGTGTGATTCTGTCTCGCATTTTAAAAACAAATGCTCAGAGAGGTATACAATGTTCCCAAGGTGACCGAGCTGATGGCAGTACCAGGATTTGAACCCAGGCAGCCTGGCCCCAGACCTTTTGTTCTTAACCACTGAGCCAGGCTGCCCTGTGAAGGATATGACATCTCCATTCTGTCCATGGGGAAGCTGGTAAGGGACACTTCTCAGGCTCATCAGTCAACCAAGGCAAGCACAGTCCACTCTGTGGTCAGCCTGCGGTCCCCAGGTGCTCAGAACCTCAGCCCCACCGTCTAAAGCCCTGCCTCTCCCCTGGGGCTGATTCTGCTACCTGGGGTACATTCTGTGACGTCTGGAGACGTTTTTGAGTTTTGCCTGTCAAGATGGGGGGTGCTACTGGCATCTAGCGGGAAGAGGCTAGCGATGCTGCTCAGCACCGCATAGGACAAGCCACCACAGCAGAGAACCATCAACTCCAAACGCCAGCGGCGCTGAGGTGGAGAAACCTCGGCTAGACACCGGGGCTGGCCACCACGGCGACATGCCGAAGGCAGACAGCGCAGTGTTCCAGGTGATTCTGTCTGTTTAGCTAGGACTTTTCTTTCCTCTCCCCAAATTAGTCTTGTCTTTCTTCTCTTGCCCTGGAATTCCTTCAGAATCCCCAGTCACTGTGCAAAAAAAAAGCCTACACTGAATAATCATCTCCCAGTACAATTCTCTTATACATTAGTAGCAGCATAACAAGTGGGGAAAAACAGCAAGAAGCACAAGAAGATGAGCATTAAAATGCACCATAGATCCTTGAGATTCAACCATAACATCATCTGCGTGCCTGAAATGGGAATTTTTTTCCTGATTCCCTAAGCCATAATCACGCAGTCCCTCATCAAACTTCAACTGCCACGAGTACCAGTGCTGCTAAACACGCACATGACTGCGCTGATTTCATAAAATGATTTTAATAGAAAAGTAGTACAAGGTATAACCAAAATAAATAAGATAAAGATTATTTCTAGCCCAGCAAATTGTACACGGCATGTAAAACTGGTCTAAAATGCAATTTTCCTCATTCGATTTTTTCTTTTGAAATACTGAGACAGCACATTAATTTAATCTTCTAGATTAAAATAGATACTTTTTTAAAAAAAATCTACCAATCTTTAATCATTCCACATCCACTTAAAGTTGGCTAGCAAAATGTTTCACTAAAATATCTAATCGTCAGAGTTAAATGTAAAATCTGTGTAAATAGGTAAATTGGAAGACTTACTTTCCTAAGTTTTAATTCCTGCCTTGCCGAATGTTTACTGTATTAAAAATGCATTTCATCATCTTACTTTCAAAGCATTGGCATCTGGTTTTCACCATTTCACAGAGGGGAGATTACCAAATACTTTTTTAAAGAAATAGTTTAGATGTCCACTTCGCAGCGATGATGCAGTATGTTAGACCTGTGCCTCACTGTGTATTTGTATCCTATGCTTCAAGTTACAAGTGCCTTTCTAGCTGTCTCTGTTTAAATTCTAGATCACTCAGGCTTTGGGGGCCGTTTTGCTAATGACCTCTAAAAGCCAGCACCAATCTCTTATGTGGAGCACTTGCCCTGTTAGAGTGTCATATTTGATGATTCTGGTGGCTTGGATAATGTTTTGCAAAAACAAACTGAAAATTGTATTGGCAAATCGTACGAGAAAGGGTGTGCAAGGGATACTAAAGCAGCGCGGTCTCAGGAGGTCAGCGGCTCAAAGAACTGAAAAGATACATGGGCCTAAAGCTTTAAAGAGTCTTCTTTTCATTTGAGCCCATAATTACTATTTTGAACATGGCTCTGTTCACCGCTGGCTATATATAAATTTTTTGTTAATTTTCCTGTATTGGGAAGATCTTAAATGCACTCCAGGATGAGAAGGAAAAAAATATGCTGACGCTCCTAAATCGAGTATATGTTTTTGCAATAAAGAATACTGGTCAATATACAACTGAGGAAAAACTGAAACAGATGTGAGTCCTAGAACCACAAGCGTTTGAATTTGCCCAGAAATGCTATTTTAAACACTCTATATGTTGGTCTACTGTTTTTTTGTGGAATAATGCATTCTTGGCATCCTTAAAAGGTTTCAATATGTTACAAGGTTATCCGGAAAGAAAAAAAGCAAAAGACTAACGTATCAATCTGCGCATGTCACAGGCCAGACTCTGCTGCCCATTTTCGAGCAGCACAAGAGCTCGTATTAACTGCACTTAACACAACAAACCTTCAGTTTCCAGAGAGTCCTCATTCTCTGCAGATTGAGGCTGGCTTTTCATAAAACTACCTTCCGAGGGGCAAAAGAGACTCTCCATCCATAGTAACTTCAAATACAGAGGCACGCTAGCTGCAGTGGTGAACACTGATACCTTTTTTGGACTAAAATACTGCTCATGGTTAGAAGCATGTGCCTTTTCGGTTCTTCTCTGAGATGTTACACCACCATCATGCTGTAAAACAATTAAGTTACATGCACAGTGCTCCAAGAATGAGCATTCCTATAACCAGCTTTAAGCCATCTGCTTGATTTCCTTTTTTGAGGAACGTACACAGGAAAAGAGAATTCCCCTTCTGTTCGGTTACATATAGAACTCTTTTGAAGCTTCCAAATAGTTTGGTTTTGGTAAAACTCTCTGTTCTTCTATTATCCTGACATGTAGTCACCCCTAAACTATCCCTCGTGTTTTCTCAAAAAATCTCCACATGAAGTATCTGAAGGACAATTGAAACCACTTACCAATATACAAGTAACATTTTATTTTATATTCTATCTTCCATTTGGCATAAGCCTTTCGGTTTGTTTTTTGAACCAGTGAAATATACAAATCACAGCAAGACAGAAATATGTACATTAAAAGTACAGGATAAAGGCCATAGAAGATATACATAATATCTGAATGACAAGTAGAATATTTTACATTAAATAGTTTCTTTTAAAACCTAGGATTGTTAAACTCAACTCTCTTCATAAACATGAATCACTAAAAAGGAACAAAATCTGGTTTAGCAAATAAAAAATTACTTCATGGTTTTTGTATAATAAAAACCAAAAAAGTGACATTTTAAACTAATTAGTGCTTTTTCATTTCAAGATCTTTTGCTTGCAACTCACTGCATCAGAGGGGGAGTGAATATCCTTGTGCAATAAGTTAGGAGCCACAGGTGGCTGAGGTGATAGGAAGGCCACCAAGCCCACGAGGGTTGCAGGAGATGTGTATCTTTCCAAACTTTTAAAACAGTAGAAGTTTGAAATAACACATTGGATGGCACTCTTTGGAAAAAGGAGGTGTCCTGGTTTAGAACAAATTTTTAAATTTCCTTAGGGACTCAAATAGGTACTGTTAGATCTAACGGGCTCCGGTTTCCACTCGGCAAAATGAACGAAGGAAAGAGACACTGACAATGCTTGACTTTCTCTCTATTCCCACGTCTACAACGAACAAGAACAAGTAATGCCCTCTCCAGAAACGGTACGGAAAAGAGGCTGAGAACAGGGGAAGGGCAGGGAAGATAAATCCGCAAAACCTACGTGCGTATCAGTAAGACCTTCCAGATTCCTCAGAAATAAGGCTGCTTCATGGTGCTCAGGGTATGAGGGCATCTGGGCCACAGTGCAACTCAGAAGCCGTTTGGAAAAATCCCAGTTGGACTGCAGTGAAGGACAACAAGGCTCTAGACCGAAAAATAACCCCAGATAAACTGTAAATCTAAATCACGGGCTGCACTGAGATATAATTATATTTATATTTATATATGTATATATATATGTTATATACAAAAGACTGAGTTATCAGGCACCATGAAACCACATTACCTCCCTTCTGAATGCAACTGTTCAAGTACACGAGGAACAGTTTTAGGGTACACCTGCAGAATAATAGGAAAATGAGTGGAGTCTAAACACAGGATCATAACAGGGAAACACTGCCACACCTTTGAAGTCCATGTACCAAGTAATGTCATGAAAACATAGAAAACTGCTCCTCAAAATAAATGCTTTAAGGGGAAAAAAAATCCCCAAGTAGCAAACTGTTTTCCAAGTGGAGCTCCTAATGTTTCATTTCCTGCCCTACCATCAAAGGGGACCCAGTGGAGCTGCTGTTTGGAAACGTGGCCGGCGTCACATGGCAGCAAGGCACGGAGGAATCAGAGGCCTTGGGGTCCAGCAGGGAGGGCGGCTTTCACCCTTCCCCCCCCCCCCCCGGACGAGGTTTTCGGCTTGGGTGCAGTGAATGGAATTCATTTATTATTTTCATTGTTACCATTTATTAACCAAGTATCCCTAATAAAATGGCAGTATGTTTTCCTTTTAGTCAAGCCAACCTCCCCTGCCCTTCTCCAAACAAAAGCTCAAGTACCCAGAATCACTCGGGTCCTTTTCCAATCGGATGACCTGATTTCTAAAACAGCTTCAAATCACTGACTTAAAGGAATTAAGTTTAATTTTATCTTCTAGGGCTTCCCCTCCCTGCTCCCTGTTTTCAGTAGCTATTAGAATAGGACCATCTGCAGGTGGAATGTTTGAGGACAGTGAGATACAAGGTAAACCTTTTTCTTCAAGGGATATGAGATCCTTGCTCTTATATTTTAAATTACCACTTTGAAAATGTTTTCAGGCTGGCAGCCCCTGGGAAAGAGGTCGGGGGTGGGGGGTCTCACTTTTTTGCTGTTGTCCCTCAAGACCTTTCAGCTTACACCAGAGCGCTGACCAGTCCTTCTGGCCACAGACACTAAATCGTGCGTAGATTTGTGCCACCCTCCTCCAGCTGGATGGACCTGTCCCATATGACCCCATGGTTGAGACAAAGGAAACGGAGAATCTCCTTTACCTTCCAGATGTGCGCACACCTAAGTAAAGGTTTGTGTTATTCCCCCCTCATCCTATACCTTCGAAAGAAGTCTTGTCTTACCTTTTCAAAGATCCACAAAATAAATATTTTCTTGATTCCCACCCCCCATTATTGCCAAATAATAATTATAATAATAATAAACCACAGAATTCTCAGATGGGAACAGAGAAAAATGGTTCCGTTGCAATTCCTGGGGAAGAAACAAATCCAATATTTAAAAAAAAATCACTGTACTTTCTATAAATAAGTGGGTCCTGGGAGTCGGGCAGGGTGATGGGCAGGCGGCGGGGCGCCCACTATTTGCACACGAACTGGTCCACGATCTCCGTGCACTTCTTGCACTTGACGTAGCAGCACCAGTGGAACTTGCAGTGGCAGCGCTCGGTCTGCACCGTCTTGAACTGGTCGTAGCCACGGCCGCAGCACATGAGCTCGCAGCCGTCCATGCCCTCGGACGTCTTGTTGCACAGGCGGCCCTGTGTGCCCAGCGAGCCGGTGCTCTCGTTGCGCACGCAGTAGTCGGGGCTGGGGTCGATGTAGACCAGGTCCTGTGTGGTGGGCGAGTTGAAGCGGCTGTTGACCTGCACCAGCTTGCCCCGGCTGTTGAGCCGCATGGCCGCCGCGCTGTCGTACTTCTCCTTCAGGGCGTCGCCCACCTTGCGGAAGTCGGCCAGCTGCAGCCAACACGTCTTGAGGCTGCACGAGCCCGACACCCCATGGCACTTGCAGGCCACGTCAGCCAGGTTGTACACCGTCTGTGGGGAGAAGGGGACGGTCAGCAGACACACAGTCACCAGGAGCCCGGGCTGGGGAACAAAGCTCCCCTTCTAGACGGAGCCAAGGTCACCAGGGGCCTGGGCTACTTCCCCCTCTTTCTCCACCACCACCAGCCTTGTGCTGCCATCTTTAAAAGTCTGCAAAATAAAGATGCTCTCAGCCCCTCGTTACATACCATCATCATCGTGACCACAGGTTTTGAAGGGGAACAGAAAAAAATTGTAACATCTGCTTTTCTTTTTTTGCAGGAAAACGACATTAGCAGCAACTCCTATACCTCGAACACTCATCCCAGAGATTGTTCTCCATTCCCCATCTGCGTCATCTGGATTCATCCCCACCACCCGCCTCTGAGGGCAGAGCTGTTTCATCCCCATTTCAGGGAAGGACAGTGAGGCCCAGGCAGGTGAGTTCCTTCCCCGACCACTGGGAAGGAGGGGAGCCAGGAATGGAGCCCAGGCAGGTGGGCTCCAAGCTCATGCTCAGCGGCTTGGCCATGGACACCCCGCTGGTAAGGGGTAGGGCTGGGAGGGTGTCCAGCCCAGGCCGGGTGAGTTCAGTCTTTCCTCACTCTTACTATCACCACTGCTGTGTATGGGGACTGTGGTAAGAGCCTATATACACCCTTGTCCTGCCGGCAAGGTTGTAACCCCGGCTGGATCAGAGGATGGCCTGGTGATGCACAGAGGGGAAGTGGCCCTCGCGGGTCACACAGCTTCAGTGTGGGAGAACTGGGCCTGGATCTCAGGTGCTCTCACTCCTTCCTGCGCAGTCCCTACCCTCCACCCCCACTGCTGGGGCTAAGAGCACCCACAGTTCTGTCCTGACTCTGTCCCTGAATTCTGGCAACTGGCTGCACCTCTCTGAGCCTCTGTCTTCCATCTGTGATGGTACCAACCTCACAGCATTGTTACGAGGATAAAATCAGGAGATGCATGAAAGGACTTAGCAGGCAGGATCCAATCGGTAAATCCAATGTTCAGGGTGGTGAGGGCAGGGCATCTGGATGTTAGTCCTGGGCCAGTCACCCTGGCCTCACAGTGGCAGCACCCATGGGTCTGGCCCCACAGCACTGGGCCTGGCAGCCTGGGAGCTGCTGGCTGCCTAGTTACAGTGCTGACTGCCCACAGTTCCTGTGCCAGCGACCCAGCAGAGCTGGCACAGTGTGGGCACACGGCAGAGGGCTTGTCAGGAACCTGGAGGCTGGAGTGAGTGAGGAGGCTGCTTCCACCAGGGAGGCATAAGGGGCTTTCTTGAAAGGGGGCCTAAAGTGTACTCCCTTGACGTAGTGTTTCAGGCCCTCAGCAAGTCTGAGGAAGGGTTTTGCAAATATATTTAACCTTCACTCCCCTTGGAGGAAAATCCAGAGCTAGTGTCCCTTGGAGATTCTAATATGATTTCCTGGCAGAATGTCTAACTTTCCTGCCTGCACCCCCCACTCCTGGAGAGAAACGGTCTTCCATGTAGTCCCATCCATCAGGATCCAAGCACAGTTCATTGCTCCAATTATAAAACTGCCAACAACAAAGAAACCTATTTAAAAATGCAGATGTTAAATGAATTTATATTAAAGGTGCTTTTCCCACTCCAAAATCCCCTCCCTCCACTCGGACCGGAAATCCCTTAACCCGTTCTTCTTGGTTGCTGGGGGCCCTGCAGATTTCTCACCATGTGAGAAGCCTAAGAACTCCCCAAAGATGAATGAAAGCACCACACAGGGGCACCAGTGGGGCACAGAAGAGTCAGCCACACCTGTCCTGGAGGTGTTTCTGGTCCGAGGTGCTGGGCACCTTGTGCACAGGCACAGAGTAAGGTAATGGGCCCCTGGCGAGGACAGGACCGAGGTCCGAGGCTCCCAGAGAGCAGGGCAGGCAGCCCACTGTGGTGTCGGTGCTGCCATGAGGAGGGACAGTCCACACAGCAGCAATGGGAGGCTTCAGAAAAGAGAGGCCAGCTCCCCTGGAGCAATTTATCTGACCCCTTGAGGCACCACAGGTAAATTTCTGCAGAGCTTAGTCTTTCCCCTACACTGCCAAATATTTATGATCCAATTTGAGAAGAAATAGGTTAGCTGGCGTGATCTAGATAATCTTGGCTTCCCTGTGCCCTTTGCGTCATAATGTTTAGTCACTCGTTTATCAAGCACTTACTACTACTGGTCAACACTGTACTCAGCCCTTCGATTGAACCTTACGAAATTGTTACTTGGTAGGTCAGATATGGTCAAATATTGGTAATTTCATAAGGTTCAATCTATATGATCCCAGTGAGTCCTTACAGTAACCCCCAAGTGCTAATGTCCATTTGACAGATGTGCAAATGTGGAAACTGAGGCTCAGAAACAGGAAGGAATAAACAAAATGGGATTTTAACCTAGATTCTTTTAATCTCAAAACCTATAGCCCTTTACTCCCAAGCCACGATGCATGAGTTTTCTACAAAAACACCTGGGCTTACATCTCAATCCATTAATTGTCCTTCAGGACCCGAAATGATCCTCTAGCCTCAGTTTCCCAATCTTCAAAATGAGAGTGTGCAGCCAGAAGGCTGGAAGGCCCCTTCCAGTCCTTTAGATTTTACTCTGTGATTATCATCCCTTTTCCTCACCCCAAAATACAGAAGAGTGAAATCTCTGACCAGAAAGTTCCTGGCACCTACCTTGGGTTCTGTGAAAAAATAATGGCCCTGGTTTTCAGTGCTGCCAAAGTTAGGAAAAGTTTTCACCCCTTCATTTTAAAGCAGCCATAAAGTGCCATGTGTTTAACCGCAGGGAAAAAAGGGTCTTTTTAACTATTGTGGGGGAGCTTTTCCCATCCCCACCAGGGGAAGGAGAGACTGGAACAGGGAGGCTGGGGCTGCCTTGCAAGGACTTTCTGGACACTTCTGAGGGGCTCTCTCTTCTCTCCAGGGCTACCCTTGACTGGCCTGATGGTCAGACCTATAAAATTCCACACTGCTAAAAATGCTCCTCATTTTCCTAGAAAAGCTCTTTTTAAAAAACCCTCAGTCCATCAGGCCTGCTATCTGATGACACGAGGAGGGGCACGGAGGAAAGAAGGGGGGGGACTTAACCCTGGAAGCTGGGGTGGGGCTTTCTCAGCTGTGCACCTACTGGGATAAGTAAGTCCCTCTCCCCAACTGAAGCCCAACCCCCCAACCACAGAGTTGTTCCAGGGAGGAGAGTGAATGTTACCAATATTTTGATTTCAGAGCTGGGCTGGCCAATTGCACTGGGGACTAATTAAAAAGGAAGAGAAAGATCTTTCTCAGGCCACTGAAGGAGCACCTTGGCTGGAATGGCCGCGGAGGGATGCGTCCCCTCCCGCAGGCCTCGGTGGGGAGGGCCTGTGTGTAGTGGCAGGAAGGGGTCAGGGGTGAAGAGAAAGAGACAGAAGCAGGGAGACGGGGATTGACACCAGAAAAGCTAGGATGGGAGGCGGAGACAGAGGCAGGAAGAGAGGAAGACGGAGACGGGGACACTCCCCACCCCACCACGAGGGACCCTGTACGGGGACACTCACCCGGCGGCCGGCCTCGTTGTTGTGCAGGTTCATGAGGATGCGCGCGCTCTCGTAGGAGCCCTTGGCGTGGATGCGCTCCCGCTCGCGCGCGTCCACAAACTCCTTGGCGAAGCGGTAGCCGTAGTCGATGTTGTCGCCGCAGCCACCCCACAGCCAGTCCCGCGGCAGGTCCTTGGGGCGCGCGGCGCGGCTGCAGCCGCAGGTGGACAGCTCGCCCTCCCGGCACGCGCGGCTCATGGCGTTGACCACCCCCGCGGCGCTCACCGCGTACGTGAAGGCCGTCTCGCGGCTGCCTGCGGGCGAGGACAGGTCAGCGGGGGCGCCAACGCCGCGGCCCCCGCCCTCCTGGATGGGGAGCAGGGAGGACCCCCTGCCACCCCAGGCCCACCTGGAGGGGAAGCCGTGAGACATCCCCCCCACCTAACACGAAAAAGCAACACATGACAGAGCAGCAGATCCCTGATAGCCTTGCTCTGACATTTCAGAGCCCAAGGCAGGCTTCTCAGCAGTGCTGCACTGATTGTCTCTATACCTCTTCTGCAAATGATTACAAACTTCTTTCCCCAGATGCCCACGAAAGAAGTCACTGAGGGAAGACGCGGCACTGGGGTAGGCTTCTTCCCACTCACTTTCCTATTTTCATTCCGAGTTACCTACTGGGCAGGAGCACAGAATTCACTAGGCTCAGAGCCTCTCGAAGTCTTAGGCCCAAGGGGAGCCAGACCCCGCAGCTGCCCCTCTCCACCCCGCGTGGCCACAGGCAAGGGAGCCTGGCTTCCCCCTCCTCCACCTGCAGCACGAAGTCTTGTCTCGGAACAAGCTCCCGACTTCCCCAGAGGACGTTTTTAAACTGCCTCCTAGAGAGCTAGAAATGAAATTTGCCTCTTCTTAAAGCCCGAGCTGACTGGCCTGAATATTTCTCACTCCTGAGGATGAGGTCTCCTTTTCAAATGGGCTGCTGTTTGCTGTTCTTTAACGTCACTTCTGCAGCTCCCCCGCAGCGTTTACCTCAAAGTGTTGGGATAATAGCAAGAAGGGGAAAAGAAAAAATTCTTCCTGAAACTTGAAAAGAATATACAAGCTACAAGCCTAGGGGAAACATGTTTTCCCCTTCCCTAAAATTTGTAAAGAATACTGTCTTCCTGTAAAAGGGCTCTACAGGAGCTCTATTTGTAAGGAGAAAAATGGAGGGGATCCTGGACTATTTAAATCTCCGCTTTTATGTGGAGACATTTCTATGTGTAGCAAGAAGTCACTTGATTCAGTAACAACACTTTAGAGCGAGAAAGGGTTAACACCTGGCCAGCTGAGGCTGGGTCTTGGGGGCAGGATGAGGGGGGCCTAACTTTCCTCAACTATAGAATAAGTGTATTGAACTAGATGCCCAGGGGGAAAAAAGGCCCCTTCTGGCCCTGGAATACCAGAATCAGTTTCACCTCTATTAAAAGAGCTTGCTAACAATCTCTTGTGGAGCGGCGAGGGGGTGGGGGGCAGAACAAGAACAGCTGACAACAGGACTCAGCCCCACCCAGAAGGGCCATCCTGCAGGGGGGCGGCCATGCCAATTCCTGTGGCCCGCAGGCTGCCCTGGTCTTGGATTCCTGTTCCACAACTTCAATCCACAGCCATCTGTGATTCCCTTCCAGGAATGGCGATGGTTCTGAATTACCAGACCTTCCCTCCCACATTTTGAAAAATGAATAACTTGAGGAGTGTGCTGGTGGTTGGCAAGAGGATCCAGAAAGTTCCTGTGGGGTATGACCTCTATCTAGCTTGAATCAGAGAGGCAGAGAGCATTGGGGGAGTGGAGGGAAAAGAGAGCAGGCATTCTCGGGAGTGCTTGGAGGATTACCGCTGATAATACAGAAAATGCTGTCCCAGGATGAGAGATTTGTAGAATGAAGAGGTAGCCAGAGGAAGAGAGATAAACAATCCTCTGGCGATAGGAGAAATCAAACGCTGTCCTGTGAGGATCTAGAGCATAAAAGGGCTTTTATACAAAACATAACCACACTGCTTTTTTCATCAGTCTATCTTGACCAGTTCCTTTTCTGTCCAGGAATACAAACCTGGTAGAAATCTCTAAGCTAATTGGTCATTGCAGGGACAACGTCAGCTTGAAAAAGTGCTCTCTGGCTAACAGCCTGGAGCTACAGCTGCCCTGGATGGATACTACCCGTCCAGTTCCATCTCCCCTGTGAATTCTACATCTCCTCCCATCCTCACCCTCCTTCAAAATGGCGCCTTTTCTTACACTTTTTTTTTTTTTAACAGCGTGGAAACAAAGACAAGACAAGATGGAGACAAAAGCGGGAAGGAAAGGGGTAGCATGCATGCAAAATGAGAAAGTTTCCAAAAGGAAGGGCGGACACTTCATGAGGTGATTGTGTACAGTGCCTCGATTGGCCTCCAGGAAGACGGTGAGGGTTGGAGGTGGCACCTGAGTTTGCCAGACACTGGCCCCATCACAGGGTCAGATCCTCAGAGACAAGGACTATCCTCCACGTCCCTGGTGTCCCAGGTGCTCTGGAGCAGGCACACACACACCTTCTAGCATCAAAGGTGTTTTCAGTGTTCCCTTTTCTCATTCTCTTCAGATATACCCTAAATAGAAAACTGAAAGTTAAGGAACTTTTCCACAGTTGGGTCCATGTTCCTCATCTATAAAAACCTATTCTGTTTGTTTTTCGTCTCTCCATGTGTTTTGTAAATAGCAAAGAGAAGTCCCCACCAGCATTCTGCTCTCAGACCTCAGGCACCTGAGGAACATGTGGCAAGAGAGGTGTTTTCATCCTCCCAGGACCTCAGCTGACTTGATGGTAGGATCCAGGAGGGCTCCACTCCCGCCTACCTCCCATCAACCCAGACGGCGGTGCCACACAGCTGAGGACCACGGAGTGTACTTACAGGAGACAATTAAATACAGGCCTTTGTCCCCAGGGTTCTACTTGTTCCCTGAGGAAGCAGGCTCTTTGGACCACATTTTAAGTAAATGTTCAGCAGAACTCAAATCCCTTAGCAAACATTTTGGCCCCAAACAAACAGGCTACGAATGAAGACGATTTTAAAGCTGTGTTCCAGTGACTACACAGAAACACAGTTCCCAGCACCATTTCCCTTCCTGGTTTAGCATCAGAGGTGTATGGTTCTTCACTAACCCAGATACATGTGAAAAAGTGCTTCCACAGTTGGAGAGGAGGACAGTTTAGGGGAACAGGGCGAAGGTGAGGGCGAAAGGCCGACAGGTCACCATCCTAATATAGCTAAAAAGCAGTTATATTGACTCAATCTCAAAATGCAGGAGAATGAAACCGCCACTCCACCCCCAGTTAACTACATAAGGCAGCCCGTGTTCAGGGAAAAAGTCCTGGTGTCCCTGAAGCTCAGCTCCTAGATTCAGATCCCAGTATATACATTAGCACATTTTAATCATTAACAGGAAGGACAAAGCCCTATGAAACTGTGCAGGCTGAAGCTGCAGACCATTTCCCCATTCAATTAGAGGAACAGCTTCCAGTCCTGTATTATTTTAGTTTGGGAAGCCACTTGGCTCAAACATCCACTGACAACTCTTTTTTTGTTCTCAATGAATGCACTTTTCAGGTTTCTAAAAAAGCATTTTATCCATCCGTGACGGATATTAAGCCAACTTTTTATCTTCAGTCAGTATAAATAGTTAATTGCTTTGAAAAACTGCTGCTTATTTTAGGAGTCACTGCAGTCATATTAATTATAAGGGCTTGTTTGCATAAAAGTAGAGAGACTGAAAATACTCACTAGAAAACACACAGGACCACATCTGTCAGATTGTGTCCTATGCTGTTCAACCAAACCGGAGGCAAAGTGATTTTCCAAATTCTTTGCCTTCAGCCCAGTTTTAATGCCACCTCCTCCCTGAATGGACTAACAAGTTCAAAAACACATTTAAAATAAAGAAAATAAAGAATTAGACGGTGAGTGAGACACTAAAATTTTTTTGTTTCTAAGTTGAGATCTGAAGCATGTGCTCTTATATCAGTGACCATCACAAATGTAAATTGGATCACTTCTAATTAAAATTGTTTCTAGGACTAAAAATAAAGCTTTATATAAGATAAGATATATTTACATACATCTATATCTCCATGGCCTTAGGAAATCTTTCCTTATATTAGAAAAGTGAAAACCTTATATGCTACCAACACATTCAGTGTTCTGAAAGATGACAGTTCAGTACTTGGGCCATTTGAATTGTGGCTTAAGTTAGGAAACTTCTAACACTTAAAGCATCTTGAAGATTAAAAGGCTATAAATGACTCAGCTTTCCTCATCCACTTTTAAGAAACCAAAATAAGGGTTCTGCTACCATTTTAAACAAAATGCGTTCTAGAAAAAAAAATTAGGTGTGCAGAAAAAATGGATGCATCTTTGATGCCCCCACCTCCTGATTTGACCAAAACATATAATTAGGTGTGAGGACAGGAAAGAACACAAGTAGCTATAATGACAAAATCCTCAAGCCACCACCCTGATGGACGAGTCCCTCCTCACCAGGCTTCTAAATAACACTAAGGACTTCTCCTAGGAGAAAAGTTTATACACACAGTTAAAAATACGTGAAGTGGTTTCCTACCTATCTGCATGACCCTGCCAAAGACAGAGGTGTTATCCACGGTGCTGCAGTTCCACCGCCGGTGTCGGAATTGATACTGGCACTCTTTGATGCCTGTCTTCGCACCCTCTCCGATGTACTGCATGTGGTCCTGATACAAGTGGCACAGTTTCTTTTGTCCTTGAGAAAGTCCTGCCAGTTGGCTGCAGAGAGGCTGCGCTCCTATGATATATACTTCTGACATCTGAACAGGGTTATTCATACCTAGCGACCTGAAAAGGGGGGGAGATGTGCATTCAAGATTTACGTGAGCTCTCAAGGTGGGCCCCCTGAAGACATGTCAGCAATACAGAGTTTTAAGCACACAGATGCTTTTTCTCTCCTGCTTGTCCTCATGACAAAGTATGAGACGGGCTTCATAAAACTCCTCTGTTTAAACTCTGCTCAGAAAACGGAGGTATTGTGTAGCCCCCATCCCACCATCTGGCTCTTCAGAGTTTTCACTCCCTTCCTTGCCCCTTGTTGCCACGTACCTGAACCAAAATTTCTGACATCCACACGGAAAGGGGGGAAATGGCAGTCTAGGGGATGGGCCTCTGACACTGGAGAAAGTGACACACTTTGCCCCACAAATTGGACTGATCTGCCTTAAAAATGTATAAATGCTGAAAGGAGACACAATTAGACTTGGGTAGGAGATAACAGTTCCTTCTGACTGAGGGAAGAACAGTGGGACAAGTATATAGGCTAAAGAAAATTCCCCCATCCTGGACATTTTAAAAGGGCTCCTTATGTGATTGTGAAGGACCCAAGATGGGGTATCCAGTGAACAGAAGTCATGTCTGACAGTCAGAAAAATGCTGTTCATTTACAGCGAAAAAATATCCAGAACACCGTCAAAAATAATCCTCTGGATATACTGCAGTCTCTCCTCAAGGCCCCTACCGGAAAGAAACCCTCGTTTTGGGACATTTGACTACTTCAAGTGAACCTCCTTTTGATCAAATTTCAAGCCCCAAATACCTCCCCACTTGGAGTTTAGCTGTCTTCCTAGAACCCTGCCTGCTTCAGACCCTGAAGTTTAATAACCTCAAATGACAGAAAATAAACGTTGGAACTCATTTTTACTACCTAGAGGTGGCAAAAAGTAAATTTTATAGATAGGCTTACAACTATTAGAGAAGCGAATTTCAGTTCCTTTTTATTCCATGCTGTACTACAAGCATACATCTGACCAAGGGCCTCACAGAAAAAGGTCTACATTTCTAGGTCCTGATTCCCTATAGAGCTAGATAAGCTTCACAGTGTTAGCAAATTAAAAGAAAATTCTGATTTAAAGGTATACATAAATAAAATACATTACACACATATTAGATGAATGCACCCGAACTCACGGTTCAGCTTTAAATACTGCAGCATCATACAACTGAATCTTTTTGAAAAAATTAATATGCACATAGAACGAACTTACCACCAAGAATTGGCTTCTATTACAACCTGGGCGAAGGAGATAAATATGGCCAAAGCCATTAGGAAGAACTTGGAAGACATTGCCCTTCCAGCCGTCCCCAAAGCAACTCCTGGGCTTACTATTCCAATCGACTTCTGGAGAGGGAAGAAAGGAGCAGATGTTTATTGCCTCTCAGATAATTTTCAAGCATACAAGTTTAAACAACGGAAGCATCCGGGGTCTCTTAAGTTTACTGTGATTGACTGCACTTCTCCTCCGTTTTGAGTTTTTGATGGCAAGATATAGGCAGTTTCTTTTTCCAAATTAATCCACCCACGCAACCTCACCAGGAAATCTGATTTTGCTGGGATCCTGCGCGCGGGGCACGCCAGCGATTACAAACATGTCTCAATGCTGTTGAGTCAAAGCCCCGGTGCCAGGCGCTGCCTCCTTCCTGCTTGCTCGCGTCCCGCACCCCCTCGCTCCCCTCTAGTTCGCGCCGTGCTCGGTCCCTCCTCGGAAATTCACTCGGGAACCCGCCGCCACCCTCGTCCTCTCCCCGACCTGGGCCGAGCAACAAGTGGAGCCGGAATTAATTCCATGGGCGAGAGGAGCGAGAAGGCGAGTAAGAGCGAGTGGAGCGCGCCGCCGGTGGCTGCAGAGGAGGCGGGGTGGCCGGCGCAGGGGTGGGGGGTGGGGGCAGGACGCGGGAGGGAAGGGCAGGGGGTGGGGGGCGAGGCCCCCGGGAGCAGGGCGCGCAAGAGTACCCAGCTGGGAAATGCGGCTCGGAATTAACATCGTCTGTTTTATAATCAGTTTACGCCAGCTTTGGGGCCAGCCACTTCCAGAGGGGGAGGAAGGGCAGCCTGGGTTTCCTTAGGATGCTCTTCAGCCAGACTGAAGTGGGGAGAAGGAAGTGGGGGGCACAGAAGATAATGGGGGCAGAGAGCGGCTCTCCCAACCAAGGAGACCGCAACATAGTGCCCTCTCCCTGCCTTCGGCCTCATCCTCCTTGGATGCAGTGTACCCCAGAGAAGGGATACACCCCAGAGGAAAGAAGGAGTTCTGGATTCCAGAGAGGGGATCGCTGCTCTGCCCTCCCCACAACCGCCCCCCTCGTTCTGATTTTTCAGTCTCCCTATCGGCCCCTCCTGTCCCCACTCCTGGCAGCTGCCACGAAGGGAAAAGGAAGCAAAGGAGGACTCCAGTTTCCTTTTGGTCCTGGTCTGTTGACCACTTCGCCATCGTGGCACCGTGAGCCTGGTCTCCGAACACCGCTACCCCACCCTCCAGCCCAGTTCAGACTCGGTTGGGTCAGTCCCGAAACGTGAAGGTGCAGGGCGAGGCCAGAGCCCGTGCGAGCAAGTCCCCGGCGGAGCCAGAGGTGTACTGGCTCCCGCACCACGGCTGAGCCCCTGGATTCCAGGGCGCAGAGAGCCCCGGCGGCGGCGAACACCCCCGTTGTGAAGAATTTCGGGGGCAAGGGGTGGCCTTGGAAGCTTTCGAAGCCGGTCCTCCCCACTGGTGACTTCTCCACCTGCAGGCGGCGGTGGAACGAGGCAGTGGCGGGTGCGAGTGGGAGGAGCGGGTTTCCAAAATCTCTTTTTACATCTCTGATAAGAGTAACCCGGCGCACTGCGCCGCCCGCAGCCCCCAAGGGAGCCCCTTCCTCGGAAAAGGAAAGGTGAACCTTCCCCAGGCTGCAGAAGGGCCTGGCCCGGAACCTGCGCCGGAAAAGAGACTGACGGGACCTAGGCAGAGGTGGAAACGCAAATGGGCTCAGGAACGCGCCATGGCCTTTCCCTGCCAGCTGCCCTTTTGGCCCGGACTCCTCGGGGCTTCTCGAGAGGAAATGCTTATGTGGTCCTAGTGCCATCTACCCAGGGATCCGCGCCTATGGCCCACTCGTCCCCCCAAACGCCACAAAGCTGGGGCCGCATCCCAGAGCATAGAAACCTGGGGTTTCCCCAGCCAAAGAGAGAAGGTTTGGTCTCCCTCCCCACCCCCGCCCCAAGTGTCAAGTTTCCTTCAGGGGAGGGGGTAGGCTGCAAAGGCTGCCTTTACGCAAGGCCCGGCTGCAAAGTCTCTCCCCAGCGGCGGCCAAGGCCACGCGTGCACGCGCGCACACACACACGCGCGCGCGCACATTCACACACTCACGCGTGCACACACACACAAACACACACACGCTCCGACGTGCTTCCGAGGCGGCTGCGGAGATCGTGGCCGACTGCGCGCACTTTCCGAGCTTCCCGACAGGCGGGGCGCGCAGGGCGGGGCGCGGGCAGCTGAGAAATTGATAACAGATTCGGCGGATTACTGCGGATCTCTTTGTTAGAGGCGAAGCCACACAAACCGAACCCCCTCTCGGCCCAGCGACCCCGGGGAGAGTCCACCCGTTCACAGAGCTGGCGCCAACTGGGAGCGGGCCATTTGGTTTCCGCGACTCGGGTCTCTGCTCAGGGCTGAGGGTAGGCCGGAGGTGCCCCCAAGGGGATCGGGCGGGAGAGCCCCGCGAGTCTCGTCTCCACTTAACCCCGTGCGCTCGCCCGGAAACACCTTGGCCCTCTTCCCACTCCAATCTCCGTGCAACCCAGAAAAGGCCCCACAAGTTTGAAAGACTGAAGGAATCCACAGCAAACTCATTAATAAATACACAGACTCTAGGGTAAACATCCCTGCTTGTTTACCAAGAGATACGATCCGAAAAAAGCACGAAACGAGACCTCTTCGGAGACTGTCAAACCGAGGGTAAAACAAAAGTTCTGGGCAGAAGCTTGAGTTTACCAGAGAACGGGCTAAAGGTTTTTGAACAGTTTCACAGCCCTAGGAAGCTGACTTTGTAAGGATCCTTGGAATCTGTTCCCAGTGTGCGATGGGGAGGAGGGCTTGGGGGCATATGAGACGTTCAAGCGCAGGGGAGGGTGAGGTGGGGGTAGGGCGTTTGTGCGCCCTTGTTTCCAGCCCAGAACAGACGGACGTAGAGGCTGCTTATTCTGTCTCTCCTCCAAAGCCTTCGCGTTAAAAGTGTTCCTTAACTCTACGTTATCAACTAGCGAACAAGCCGAGAGCGATGAGGGGCGTGAGGGAGGAAACCGTCACGCTAGCTTAGAGGACGTTCGAAGGCGGCAAAAAGGTTCAGAATGCGCATGCAAACCCACGAAGCACCCTAGTCCGAGGCCTCTAAAGAGAAATTCCGCAAAGAAGGCGAAGGCCCTCGGCCACTGGCGCTACCTCACTAAGGTCTGGGCATCCCCTTCCATTTTCACTAGGCTCTTGCCATCCACCCTCCCCGCCCTCCAAATCTCTGTGAGCGGAAATGATGAGCGGAAATCTCTGGAAGGAAGAAATTAGATTGACCTGGACTCGTGGTGGAGAAAAGCATACGACGCTCCAAGAATCTCAGCTCTTGGTGAGAAATAAACTTTTTCCCCCACTGCTTTATCTTCCTACATCAAGGAAAGAGATGGAGAAAACTGCGGTTGAAAAACTTGGTTGCAGCCACAAAATTAGGACGTCCTGCCCCCGGGAACGCCGAGAGAAGCGGAAGGGACTATGAAGGATGGACTGGCCCAAGATGATAGGAGGTCCACTTTGGTGGAGCTGACAAGCAGCAGGAGCTCCCCTACACCTCTAGCATGGGCACAAGGGAGTAGCGACTGCTCCGTACCACCGGAATGTGTCCACATCACTGCATGTTGGGGAGGGTGGGGGAGAGGAGAGAGAAGGTGGAGGAGGGAATTCCTGGAGTCCAAATCAGTGTAAATAAGGTGTGCAGCTTCTGATTGCTCCAACTCGGATCTGACAGCAGGTCCAGTAACAGGGAGTCTCCAAGGGAAGAATGGCGGCCAAGTCTAGTTCTGTTCCCTCCTCCCCGCATGCACCCCGACACGGCTCTCCAGATTGCAAGACAATTCATTCGCTCTCGCTCTCCCTCACACACAAGTACCACTTACACCTTCTCATACAAGATGTCTAGCTCTCTCTAGACACAGGCTCTCAACTCTGTCCAGAAGAGCTGAATGTCGGAGGAAGGAGAAAAAAATTAAAGCACAGTTCAACCCCGACTCTTCAGAGGCAGCCTCAACTCCACTTATAGACGAAGAAACTGAGGCCGAGATAAAGTACCACTTGTCCTCAACCACAGAGAGAACTGGTGAGAGCGCCAAGGGCAAACCAGAGGCCTCTTAGGGCGATGCTCCCGTTTCTACACCCTGGAGAGGAGGTACCAACCCTCCACTTGCCCGAGCCATTTGCTGGGTCGGACCCTTGGTCCCTTCCGTATTGCAGCGGCCACGCAGAGCAGCTTGTCCTTTGTGGGCCTCCGAGTGGGCCTCCGAGGGGCCCTCCGGAGAGAGTAGGACCGGTGATCGCCAAGTGATGTGCAGAGCCAGAGGTGAAAGGAAGAGGCAAGCAGCTGCCCGCCCGCCCCAAGGAACGGAGACTCTGAGACGTCCTACCTCAAGGCGGTCAACAGGGGGCAGCCGGCACCGTACCGCGAGGAAGAAAAGGCAGCGGGACGAACTGAGCCCTGCGCGCACAGTGCTAACCCCTTGTGCACCGGAGCGCTCCGCCGAGCGGAGGGAAAAAGCAAGGGACTCTCACGCCGGACCTCCTGGGGAGGGTCCTCCTTTGTGACACTGGGCTGGGCTAAGGCTAGTATACCCAAGACCAGAGAACAACTGACCCTTTACTCCCCCACCCCCAACGCACATACACAAGACTTAGGGCACAGATTCACACACTCGGACACAATTTCCAATGCCTTCCCGTCGCTTGAGCGCTTTCACCATTTCCCCCTCGGAACTCCTCTGGCAGAGGCTACCTAGAAACAAAATCTCCGCATCTGGCTTAGAGCAGCTTTGAACGTTGGCGGGAGGGCAGGGGCTGAGGAGCTGCGATCCCACTGCTGGCTCCTAGGGACTTCTAAACAGTTGTCCACTTAAAGAAATGCGAGAGAGAAGGGGCCCCGATGCCAGACTGCGACTGTAAAGTAAAACAAGGCCGGGATCTCCAAGTTTGGCTTTTTTTTAAAAAATCTTTTTGAGGGGAAGAGGGTAATTGCTTTAGGAAACATCTTAATTTCCATCCCAACCTTATTTTCTAGAAAACTGAAAAGGAGAAAGATCAAGAAAAATGAAAATAAAGACCGAAGCTTGGAGAACAGAGAAGAAAAGTTGTTTGGAAAATAGCAAATTATATTGCAGGAAGAAATGTTAACTTTTTGTAAAAGTGAACTCTCGGTGACCCTCGGAGTGTGTGACTCGGCTTTAACATACAACTGACAATTAAAACAAACAAGAGTTCACAAACTGCCCCCCGCCTGCTCTCCCAACGCGGAGGCCCAAATGTTTCTAAAGGACTAGGCAGATTCCGCGCAGGGGGCCGGGGCGCGCTCTCCCAGCGGACAGGATTAGAGCCACCACTGCCAGCACTCCCCGCCCCCATCACCGCTGCGAAGTGCGGAGCTCACCCAGTGGCGGCTAATAATGCTAATAATGCGACCCTGCTCCCCGCTCCGGGGTGCGCGCTGGCCCCCCGCCAGGCGCTCTTAAAGGCACAGGGCCTGCAGCGCTTGAGTTCCCCAGCCACGACGAGCCTGCAACCTGGCCTCCGGCTGCGGCAGGCTGGGGGTGCGCTGCTCTGGGGTAGTCGGCCTGTTGTCTGGCATCACGGTCTCTCAAACAAGGGGTCCCCTTACCCTTTCTGAGCCTCGGCCACACACCCTCTTGGTGCCCGCGCAGTGGGCACTTGGTAAATATTTGTTGAATCGAATCATTATGCTGTTACTGAAATATACATAGTAAATTACACTTGAGTTTCTCGGGGCAAAAGGAAAGTCGTCCGTGAAGCTTTTTGTTTTTCTGCCTGTCTTCCCCACTTTTTCTCCAAAGTCTAAAAAGTTTGCAGAACATTTGGTGGAACAAGAGGTCTCCCGGGAGACAGAGACAGTACGTGGGGGGTGGCGGGGGTGAAGAGGTATGGGTCCCTGCCGGCTACGCGGGAGTTCTAGCCTCTCCAGGCAGAAGGAGAAATGGAGGGATAGGAAGAGGTGGGGGCAGAAGGGGGGAGATTAGGTTAACTTCCAGAAGAAAAAAAAAAGTAAAGAAAAAAAAAGTAGCGAGCCTCGGCGGCGCACAGAACACCTACCTTCATGGCGAGGGGGAGGGGGCGCGGGGAGGAAGTCGCCACCGGAGCGAGGGCAGCCAAGGAATCCGAGCGGAGCGGCCGGGTTAAGCCTGGGGGGACGATCCAGTGCGGAGCTGCGGGCTCCTTCTGGGAGCGTCCGGCAGGCTCAGTGAATCGGAGCCCAAGCAGTTACTGGAGCCCGAGTGTGGGTGCCTGAGCCGGAGCAGCCTTAGGATGCGCCCGAGAACCGAGGGGGCGCCGAAACCCGCCGGCCAGCAGCAGAAACAGGGCTGGGCCGGCGAGCAACAAGGGAGCCGCGGGTCCAGAGAGGGCGCGCAGGCGACTGCTCCGCAGCGAGGCGCTCCCTCTCCAACGTCCATCAGCGACGGCGGTAATTAGGGCTTTCCAACCCCAAATGTGGGCGTGATTGTGCAAAAGACTTTACAACAAATAATAATAAAAAAAATCTTCACAAGATGGTGAAAAAAATGCCCCACAAGTCAACTCTGGCCCCGGGGCGGGGAGTGGGGGAGGCGACCCGTGCGCCCAGGTGCTCCCAGTTCATTCACACCACGGATTCAACAGACTCCTGGCGGCTCACGCCTCCTGATCTCCAGCTCCTCCTCTCCAAGTCTGTGGCCGAAACGTCTGCTTCCAGGCGCTGATCCTGTGGCCGCGAATGAGTTTGTGAAGTCTGTGTACACACACAGACACACACCCAAACACACCCACCCACACGCACTGCAGCCTGGGGTCCACAGAACAATCAAACGCGCACGTTTTTTTCTCCGAGAGATGCCGCTGAAAACGCACAAGTCGCCATCCGAGCTGCAAGAGTCGGCGCCAACTTTTGTCCTTTCATTTTAGGGTTTGGCAAAGGCGGGGGGGGGTCGCAAACTGGGTAAAAGTCGTCCTCGACGTCCTCGTTCTGCCTCCAGTGGGTTCGGGAGACGATGGGCGATTGCCCCAAGGGAGACACTGGCTCCCCCCTCCCCACCCACTTCTTA